ATCAACTGCAACAGAACTCACACCTAATATGCAACCAACAATTAGACAACAAAATAAAATAAAAAAGAAAAAAAGATGAAAAGCCGGCATACCCCATTGGCCATAGCCAATGCTCTCTTCGTACATTACCACAAAACGATGGAGCAATCAGCCAATTGAACAGAAATTGGAGAGAGTATGCCAAAGTCTCCCAAGTTTTAAGAATTTACACACCACCTTATCATTAAAGGTCTTCATGAACTTAACAAAGATATATTATCAGATACTCACAAAGATACACATTGACTCCAATTCATTATCAAGAATTAACACCAAGTAATAGGTTATGAAACAATCAAGTTAGTGAACTTAAGCAGCAATAGCTCTGATGGCATACTTTAGATTAATATCAGTATGACTGCCAATCGATCGATCAAAAGAATCAGGAGGGCCAGACTACTGAAGTTGGTAGCTCTTTGGCAAAACAGAACTGCAACGTGTTAGTAGGGGCATCAAGCCTGCAACATGTTTTCAGTTGATGTATCTTGGGTAATTGCCGGAAAATCAAATCTCATCATCTCAACTATTCATCAGCAGAATATACCAGTTATGTTGCCTTAGTTAAGTCAGTTCCGATCTGATCTAACAGGAGATTCCCTCCTAATCATTTGTATGAGATCCTGAACAACTTCAGAGATTAGAGGCCTAAATTCTGGCTCCGGCTGCAAAATAAATTCTAGGTTAGGTGGCTGACTCTGTTCAGTGAGGAACAAAAACAACATAAAGAGGTACAAAGAAGCAACACAAATGGATTAGATGTTTCAACAAACAACTTCCATCAACTGGGCTGAGTTTTGGCCTACATTCTGGTGTGAATACTGGAAATGAACAGTTTCAAATTTATGTATGCTACTTGCATTTATTAATACAGAACAATATTCTTAGCACCGTCATGACTAGGACACATAGAAATCGTGTTTTGGAACTCCTTCATGTTTAATGAAAAGGGACACCAGAGACCAAGGAATAGCCTAGCGGCACAGGCTCTCCCCGCCAACCATAAGGTAAGACGGGGGCTATGAATCTCACCACCCCCAGCAATTCTTAGCACTGTCATGACTAGGACAATAGAAATCGTGTTTTGGAACTCCTTCATGTTTAATGAAAAGGGACAGTAGAGACCAAGGAATAGCCTAGCGGCACAGGCTCATCCCGCCAACTGTAGGGTAAGATGGGGGCTATGAATCTCACCGCTCCAAGCCCCCTAAAATAATTGTTCTAATAACGTTCTTCAAGGTACCCCAATGATGAATAGATAAACGAAGGGACAGCAAATTTCCTCCTCTTATGTCTGTATATACACATATTTAAATCCTGTATTTTTATGAACAGCTAGTTATGCCTACAAAGAAATTGGTTGTTCCCAACTCTGATACACAGCATCTCAATTAACCTTATATTGCTTAAAATAATTTGAATTATGGTTATATGGTAGAAATATCAGATCAAAAAATAAAAAAATACAATGTAGAAATAACTTATTCGACATTTAGAAATAGAGGCGCACCGGTAAGAGTAATGATAAAAAGAAAGAATTTGTCTACTTGAGGACATGCTGTAAAATGATTGCAGATGAATTGTGCAACAATTTCCAACATATATATTGGCTAAAGGCCACCAAAGAGGAGAGTATCTCTAACACAGACAGAGAACAGCCAAGGCTAAGTTTGGAAACCAGAATGCTCATTTAGTGGATGACCCCATGACTCAAATGTATGCACAAGTGTGAAACATCATTATAAGGAAACTCACCTGAACACACCGCGAAATAATGTCAGCAAAATTCGATAATGACTTAACAGGGTATTCCCCATTGAGAGAAGGGTCTACCATTCTTGATAATGCATCAATGTCATGAAGCTGAGGAATCGCCCATCTCACCAAAAATTGCTCCCCTCGAATCTGTGTCCTAAGTATTATTTGAAGAAGACAAAAGTGTGGTCAAAAAAGGGACATAACCTTGAGAAACCAATATGATTTAACTCATTTTTTTTACCTGTCATATGACATTCGGCCTGTTAAGATTTCCAACATCACCACTCCAAAACTGTAAACATCACTCTTGGAAGTATATATTCCTGACTCAGATTCCGGGGCACCATAACCATAAAATGATAGAAGTTGTCCTGACAACTAAAGGTAAATGGAAAAAGTTCAGACAGGTAGAATCATGTGATTGTAATAATGACAAATCAGATTATGAATGGAGTTGTGTAACAATGATTGAACGAGGGTAGGTCAGACTTTAAGAGAAATTTAAATCAACTCTCAATGTAAAAAGTTGACAAGAATTACTCTCTTGCAAAGCTAACAAGAATACAATATGATGCTAAGTAATTCTATGCAATCCCATTAACCTGACACCATAAAAGACTAGTCAACATGTACAGTTTGACATTTCAGATCAAGCTTGTAAGCAAATTGGATATGGCTTCATGCAATCAATGCAATTCTGAGGTTAAGTTGCAGAATTCATATAAAACTTCCTCTCATTGCCATCTCCTGGCCTCTATAAGATACATACATCTCAAAGTCTGCTTTAAGTTGCAAGTACACATGGCTCAGTTTATAATTCTCTTACAAAAAGGATAAATATCTTTCCTGCCATTATATATGAAGCAACTTAGACAGCAAGATGAGTTAAATCAATTAAGTGAGATACTTAGATGGACAATTACTATGAGCTGCCCAACCAATGGAGACTGAGCAACACAAATCCATCATCCAAGCTACTTGAAACTTGAAAACAATATGCACATTACAACACTGACAGCAACTTTTGCTTTTTTTTCTAGAACATTTTATCCAACAATTAGCTTCTATTTTCCACGCATACAAAGCTGAAACCTCAAGAGCATATTTGGTTGGGCGTGTAGGTGGGATTGCGTAAAAATAATCCAAAAGGGCCCACATTGACCATCTTAAATCGGGGATTTCTAGCCTTGTATCATGATCGTTTATCCTCCGCAACACGATAATGCTTTATTTTAGTCACCTGACTCACCTGTATCAGGTTGGGACACTAATTAAACCAAATAGAGCTTTCTAAATTTGATCAATCTTAATTTTGTTACGGAACGTCGCATTCAGAAATGTAATATATGTTGTCGACGTGAAATTTCATTTTCTTCTATCCTCCGTGGCACGATAATCCATAGTTTGTCACCATTTTCACTTTAGGATACTAATTTAACCAAATTGAGCTTTCTAAATCTGACCAACCTTAAATTCATCGTCGAATGTTGCATTCACATGGGTAATATAAGTTTCATTCTCCACTGATTACAATGTTCTATCCTCCACAACACAATGATATTTTCCGAGCTAGAGATGAACAATTCCAATAACACCCCATCTTAGGGCTAAACTTGCTAGGGATGTGAAATAAGGCGGGGTGGTAAAACCCACAATGGGATAAGTGGTCAAAATGACCACTTCGCCCATTTTTTCGGTAACATGAGAGCAGATTGCATTGGTATAAGGGCAATTTACAGTCCCTGAAAAATTTCCACTACCTCCAAGGTCACATCATATGGGCCCCACAGTGCCCCACCTATGCATCCAAATGTGGATTGGGATTAATTTCAGCCTCTTCTGTCCATATACTTGACCTTCTCATTTTCAGCCACACCAGTCACAAATCCAATTCAACTCCAGTCACACCAAAATCTAAACATGCCCTATGTACATTTATTGATTCTTATACAACTTCGTTCAACTTAAGCTCTGTTTACCTAATCAAAATAAAACCAGGAAATTAAATGCACCCATGCTAGATAAGTAAAGCCTTGAGGTTCTGCAAAAGCCATTTAACAAAAACAACTTTTTCCACCATGCTAGACAAAGCCTAACCTTGTTTCAGGTGGAATCGCCTTACAAATACCAGTTAAACTAATACGTGACTACTATTTCTCAATCTACCCCTACTTTCATAAATTCCCCCATAAGGACTGCTAGGCTGAGCAGCTAACAATAAAAATTCTTGGTCACACCATCACTGCCACACACGAGGATTAAAATCAATTTTTATTTTTTTTTTGGGAGGGGGAGGGGGACTTGATCCCTTAACCTTAAGAAGGCAAAGCCTTTACAAGACAAAGAGTATCATTGAACCAAAGGCTCATTGGTGAGGATTAAAATCAATCAAGTAAGGGAGATCAATACCAAAATAATCAAGTCTAGAAATCAGAAGCTGAAGAACATCCAACAAAGAGGACACAAAATCTAGATGTTACTACTTATTAAGCCTTTTGTTTATTTCCTTATAAGTTTCTTCAAGTTAAAAAACTTAGTCTAATAAACATTGGCCTATAAATTCCCAACAAAATCTGATCTCCCACAAGTCAATACTAGTATACATGGTACTACTAAGCCAGAAGACAATAAGATTGTGACTTACCTGGCTCACTGAGCCTGACAAATATAAAGGAGACAAACCACAGTCAGAGACATGCACTGCAAGCTCATCGTCAAGGAGAACATTGGTAGACTTGAAGTTTCTGTGAATAATAGGTGGCTCACAGAATTCATGCAGATACCTACATCACATAAAACGATAAGAAATATTAGTACTCTAAATGTCAACTGCAAGATTATCTTTTCCCATCTCTCCTAACAACAAGAGAGTCCACTGTAGTATTTTTGACATATGGACTAGAGAATACATTGGAAAGCTTAGGTCTTCACTTCATGTTAATGTAACTAAATTTACAAACTAATAGCCCAAAAAGAACAAAATAATTGTGACATGACAGTCAGATTCAGCAGTACCATGCACCGACTATTAGTAATTTTTCTTTCAATTTCCAAGTCATTTGGCGTTGCATTTCTTTGACTTAATGTACTTGTCACACAAATGTTGAAAAATCATGAATAAAATAAAAAACTTGAACAATGAATAAGCAAAAAAATGGAAATTGAGTAGATTGGGTTAGAAACTGTCATTGCAGTAGTTGCTTCACTTACTCTAATGCCCTTGCAGCACCAAGTGCCATCCTGACGCGTGTATTCCATGAAAGATTCTTCTTAAATTCATCATCTGAGTGCAGTGCATCCTGCAGTGTCCCATTGGTGCAATACTCATAGATCAGAAGCCTTTGACCATGCTCTGCGCAATAACCCATGAGCTCGACAACATTAGCATGACGAATTTTATCGATATTGTCTACCAGCTGAAGAAACTCATTGTCCTTCTGTTGACTAGAAGCTCTTTTATCCAGTTTCTTGACCGCAAGGAACTACATAAGCATTCAAAAATATCAAATGTCAGGATTGGAATCATTATGTTAACATATGTAGAGTCATACACTGCTTTGTAACACAAACTGATATCAACTTGAGAGATTTAGAGAGAGATGTACCCAGGGATATCCCAAGTTTAAGAACCCTAGAAATTATACCCATGCATCTCAATATAAAATAAAAAGTTAGTGTGAAAGTCCAAAAAACCACTAGGAAAAATAAGATGAAGATACTGTAACTATTCAAGAAGTTTTGACAAAAGTGCCAGCTGTTTCTAGCAACTAGGTTGGCTGCTGGAAGAAATAACAGCTGGAAACTGGAATTACATTATTTGTGCAAAGATATGCAGCCCCACAACAAAAAATTGATCAACAAGGTACAATTTAGAATCGTAAGTAGGTTATGATCACTCCAACCATGAAAATTAAACTAAAATGGAGGCTCAAGCATACTTTGTTTTATATTTTCTAGAGAGTTTATTTCCTTCAAGTATGAACAGGAAATGTTAGTCAAGATAGCCACAGCGCAGAGACAACTGGTTTGCTAACAGTACTATGTACACGTGGCTTTGACGTGCACAATTTTCTCAATTAATTCTGGCTGTTCAGAAAAAATTAACCAAATTTCATGTAATGTGGTTGTGTGCTGAGTAAATGAAAGCAATAAGCAAAGATAAATATTCTGCTGATAGAGAATGGGAGATAAATAGATAGTGAACAAGAGAGGGGGTACGGAGGAGGAGAGAGAACAAGGTGGGCATGCGAAAGGATTGGTGAAAGCAATCAGCCAGAGAGAGTAAATGGGCAGAGAAAATCAACTAAAATCTAGAATCAACAAGGAAGGGGAAAAGGACAGAAAGGTCCAATGTAGCAGGGCAATTCCAGGAAAAAAAATTTGATCAATCTTCCTCAAAGAATCTCGAAGAATGAATTCCATAAATCAACAGTCATACCTTTCCATTAGGAAGCTGTGCCCTATAAACACTTCCCAGCATTCCTGCTCCAATTAGATTTTCTTGAGAAAAGCTATTGGTATATTGCTGAAGAGATGCAATTGTGTAAGACTTCACAGAGGTTAGAGGAACGTGAGGTTTGGTGGAAGGGCTCGCAGTTGGAGCTGACACAATTGGATTTACAATGACCTTCTCAAAAAGTGGGGGTGGTGGTGGTGGTGGGGGT